AGCCCAATGACTAAGAACCTCCCTTGCTCTTCTAGCCAAGCTGCTCTCAAAACTGTGGTGATAGCCTAAAACAGTGACCTTGGCATTTTGTTCCATGGCAGAGCTCAGCAAAGCATTAGTTGGTTTCATGCAGCTGGCTCTTCTAGTTCCCAGCTGCCTAGTTTTATTGAAAGGTCCTAAAATGCCCCAAATGTTCGTTCTTTTCCCCTGTTAAAAATGGTCATAGCAGCCTCAAGGGTGTGATGCAATTGCAGGCTTGAGGGAGGGTGGTCCGTAGTATTGCAAGTGGGAAGGGAGGTGTCTGTGAGTCAGTCTCTCTATTAATGCGTGTCGTCCGTGCAGCAGGAAAACTTGAGAACATCTGCACTAGGAAATCCCATTCCATCTCCCCTATACCAATTATCTCAGCCATCTCAGTTGATACTGTTTGCTCATGTTCTGATGATAGCTAGTTAGGTGTGATGTCTAAACAGCTATGACATTCCAAGTCTGTGGGTGATGGTTTCCTGGTAGGCTGGGTGAAAAGGGCAGAAGGTGGTCACTGCCATGATGGGATCTAATTCCAAGCAGGGCACGACCTACCTTGGGCACAGACTGGTTTAACACTGGCTGTGCGCTGCCTGAATGGCTATGAATCGCCAATGCTGAACTCCTATTTCTTGGTCGAGTTGTTTAGAGGCTGTTCTTGTTCTCACTGAGATTCCTTCTAGCCTTAAACACTGTGATTTGGGACAGCTTGGGTTTTCATTTAAAAGGATAGCTATTTCCACAATTCTTAGCACAGGGTAAGATGCTGTGCTAACATGTAAACGTTAAGGAAAATTTTGGTGATGAGGCAAACAATGTAGTGCATGTAGTGGTGAATGTTTCGCTATAGGCCACTGGTTGATAGGGCTGTGCACGCTGAGAACAGTTTGTAATTTAGGGCATTATCTTTAGTCGGAGAAGTTCAACTGACACGCAGTTGGTTGCCTCTTAATCTTAAACTCCACATCTCCAGTTTGTAACTATACTTCTGGACTGAATGCATGTGCAAAGCAGTACCTCGAAGGATTCCTCGCTTGTGCAGAACTGTCTTGCGCTCTGTGTTAATTGGAAAGGTCCTGTCAGTGTAGCGATGAGAGTATCTATAACTGATATCCATCTGTACTTGCTCTTCATTTGGCATGTATAGTGATTATAATGTCATAAATTATAGCCAAGGTTATGTTCTTCCGAGCCCCAGCATTCTCATCTGATTTTTACATGCCATGATTTTGATGATTATTCAGGTAAGCACAGCCATACTACTGCTACCTGGCTGAGATATGGATGTCTTTTGATAACTTTTGATGCTGATTGATGAAAGCACAGCTGAGTTCCTGGTTCAAGGCATTTGTGTTGCTAATAGTAGTGTGCCCCATGTCCAGTGAGACAGTGATTAAAAAAAAAAAAAAAAAATTCATACTCCAAAGTCATGGCATCTCTTTGGGGCAGTTTAAAGTGTTAGAGAGGCTTATAGGCAGCTGTAGCTAAAGCAAGTGCAGGGTGGTAAACATTGTTTCGACATTGGTAGAAGAATATTGTAAAGATGTGGAGAAAGCTATGAGCCCCCTTTCCCCTCCTGGAGGACTGTTATCCTGGGAAGTCTACATTTTTTGCTCTTGGTATATGATAGTTACTGTAATGCTGGATGCTGTTGTATCATACGGGTCAAAAAGGAGGTGTAACTGGTAGCTTTTTGTATCCATCCTGTACTAATTTGATTAATGGATAAGGGCTATTCAGATGATGATGTTTGCTTGTGCAGACCAATTTGCAGGCACACTTTCAAGTCAATTTTCTTGTCAATTCGCCTGCAGATGTTGGACCATTTTGAAAGATAGGTTTATTTGTGGGCAGAGGTGAACAGTTCTCCCTTGAATCCATGTAGACCTTTCTATATAGGACTTTACAAAGTGTTTTTATGCTGACTGGAGAAGGAATAGAACAATCATTGAAGGCATACGAAGCTGGAGATATCTCCGTTCGTCAGCTTGTTTCACAGAAGAAGATTGGCAGAGGTAAATGTGAAATTTTGACAGTGTCCTATAGTTCTGGTTCTGCACCATCTTAAATCACAATGCTAATATCTTTGAGCTTACAGTTACACCTAAATCTTGAGAAATAGTGCAGAGTTGTAGGAAATATTTTGCTTACTGATCTTCTGGCAGCTGTGCATGGGTCTTTGAGAAAAATTCTTGAAACTTCATTAAGAATTTTTTTTCACCTCAACATGTGTGTTTTAGCTATTGTATTTTCTAGCCTTTTGCTAGTAATCAATCTTCTACTTAAAAATATGATTTTGTAGTTAAATTGGTAGACATGGCCGGAATATGCACTGCCTCTGTTGCCTACACCGCTATATCTGCAAAACTCAGTACGCTCTCTATCCTAGACCATTAACAAAAGTACTTCTTGCCAATACACCTGGATTTGTGCTACAAGGGTAATGGGCAACCTGTCTGTTAGTCTGTTAGAGTCTGTTAGTCCAGCACAGTGGTGTCAGGCAAGTTACAGTATGTTTATCTGTACACACATTAAAGCACTGATTACAGTGCATAAGAACCAGTTTGACTGCATTGAAGGAAATGTCTGCCTTTTAATCCAGTCAGAGCACATGGACTGAAAAGTCTGGTGCAGACTCTGGTGCGTTCAGAGTGGGGGATGGAAGTAGAGCTGGCTGGAGCAGAAATCTGATTAGAAAGGGTCTGTCTCTTATCTAGGTGGTATTGTGTTTGAATGCTTTAGCTGCACTGAAGTAGAGCAGTCACTTGCACCAGCCAGGCTTTGTTAGCAGAGGGACATGCGCTATCGCTATCGTTCCTACTAGGCAATACAAACTGCCCTGCGTCTGGGGCTCCTTTGGGCTCCATTTAAGAAAATAAGCAAACAAAGCTTGGATAAACAAGCAAAGTAAAGCCCCTTTTGCATGCCTAGTGTTTTTTTTTTGGGGGGGGGGTTAATATCCAATTGTTGTTGCTGCCAGCAGGGTCTTGCTCTTCTGAAATCACTGATGGATGCAAATACAATAACAGTCAAAGGTATCCTCGGGGTGGAGGGAGCACAAGAGGAAAGGAAAGAGGGCTGACAACTTTCAAAATCTTAGCAAATGCAGAATTCCTCAGCAACTGGTTCTCTCCATGTAAATTTTGCCAATGAAAATTCTGCTTTTTGAAGTCAGTGGCATTCGGGTCTCTGGTGTGCTAAGTCTGGAGGCAAGCAGCTTCTCTGCTCTAATAGAAAGACAACCATCATCCATTCAGTTTATAATGATAAGGACATAAATACTGCACACTCATAAATGGGTAGAAACTTTATGGGGTCCTCAGAGCTAGCGGTAGGCTAGACAAATCAAAGGGATCCATCACAAGATCCTGGCAAACATTTCTTGGTCCCTGAAGTGGTATGTGAGAGACTGACTCGATCAGCATGGTGCCCCGTGAGCCCTCTCAGCTGAGTGTCCAGGTCTCCATTTACAGATAGGTCAGCTGTGAGAGGCCTTTCCTGAAGCGTCAAGTTTATCCCCCCAAGTCTGTAGTGAGACCTTAACTACTCAGCCAACATACTCCTGGGCTAAGTAAATAGAACCAGCACTCGTATGCGTTTATATACCAGCTGCAGGGAAGATAAATGATTTTCTGTGCTTATACTGAAGGTCAGTGGGTCAAATACTGAGTAGTGTCTGTCTTGCAATCTGTGCCTGAATTAAAGGAAACGTTTTGGTGCATGCTTAAATCCAACCCCAAACACTGAAGTGCTTAAGAACATTCTTAAATTGAGCACGTTCTTGAGTATTTGCACAAAGAGGAAAAATACCAAAGTTTGAAAATATAATAGTGGAAATATGTTCATGTCTTGAGTTCGTTGTAGGAGGAGAAGTGAGCTGGCCTGCAGTGTTGTATTTTTTCCTAGCCTCTGTGATATTTCTAGCCAAATGAGACATGGGTAATGAATATAGCTTATCTGGGGCCAAATCATGCTGCCATTAATCAAGAGTCTTTTCTTCAGTGGTTTTGATTTTTTGTCTGAGTAGGAAATGCAGTATTCATCGCAGAGTTATTACGGGTTATTTTAAACCTTTCTGTTATCAACCCCTCTCGCCTTTTTTCATACGATCTAGTCAAAGCAGTTGTATGTGGTGAAATGGGTGGAATAAAATTCTGGCATCAATTAAAATCTTATGTTCTAACCTATAAAAATGAGGTGAAGTATCTGAGCTGGAATGCAAAATCTGGAGAAAGTAGTAAGGTAGTTTCCGGTGCTATTTTTGTATTTCCTGAGGCTTGTGTCATTATATGCTGCCTTATTACTATTCTCTTATATAAGATATGAAAATAACAGAGGGAAATTGCTTTTCCATTCTATTTCCTGGAGTCTAAAACACACCATTATTTCATCTTGCATTCAGATATCTCTGATGTTTAAATGCTGAAGATCCATATTAGTTGGATGCTTCACAACATATGTCCATGTTCCTGAGACTCTGGTTTATGTTTAGAGTTCCTTTGGAAAATTTTTCTCCTTCCTTGTTCAGCAGCCCTACTTCTTTTGATTATTCAAACTAAAAATATTTTTTTTTCCGCAGCTAGCTTGGTGGTTTTTTGGTTTTTGTTTGTTTGTTTTGCTTTGGGTGTGTGTGTTTGGATGTTTCTGTGCCTGAACGCTGAATCTTGCTTGGATTAGTGAGTGGCAAATTGGTCAGTTGAGGAAGCCAAATGCTAGACAGTAGGAACAAATGCATGGTATTTTTGCAGGTATCTTAGCTGTCCTGTAGTATGAAGAATTGTTAGAGTGGTAACACAGTAGCTCTTAAAAATTCTTTTTCTTGAGTGTAGTAACAGAGCCCATGTGTTCTTGTTTTGCCTAAGTTTTTTGAAGGATGGAAATATCTCACTTAGCTACAGAGAGTTCCTGGAACTATCACCAGGTTTTGGCATTATTACTGATGTTCTGAGGATGTTTGCTTTGGTTTTTGACAGGTGTACAACATGTTTCAGCATCAAAGCCTTGGAATTAAAGTCAGCATTCGAGTGACCAAGTTAGTCCTGCTTCGAAACCGTCCTGTGAGTCCTGACTTGTTTTACACTGCTGTTACAGTTTTACTGCTGTAGTTCCATAGGCAGAGCAGGATCCCTGTACTGCGTGGGTGAGAACTGGAGGATATCTGGCCCTATGATTAGAAAACGTAACTAGTGCCTGCTGTGCCGCACCAGGCAGCGTTAAAGGTGGGAGAGATGGGGGCCATGGGAGAGAAAAGAACTATCGTCCTTTTAGCCTTCCTGGTACGTTTCTGTTTATAGTTGCAGACTAGCCTCAGGAATTAATTGTTTGACAGATTAAAAAGTAATACGGCTCTGGTATAAAAAGTACAACTTCCAGACCCATGAGCCTTTTGAATGTAGTGCTGCATTTGATGCTTGTGACTGCTGCCAGCTGATGGAGTTTGTTCTGTAGATCAAATGGCAGGTCAGTGTAGATCCAAAAGTCCCTCAGATGAAGCTGGTTTTGCACTTTTTGTTCTCCCATATCTATATCTTTGAGCCTCTGATTTTTCACCAGAGGTCTAGTGCTTTATAAAAATACGGTGACCAACCTTTCTTCTTTTGAATCCCTTTCTTTCCAAAAGGCAAAATTGTCTATCGGGCATCATGGAGAGAGGTCTCTGGAGAGCTTTTGTCACTGGCAAAATGAAGAATATGGTGGAGCAAAATACCTTGGTAACAACCAGGTTCCTGGTGCGAGGGATGACACCCCTCCTGTGGATGCTGCTGTTTTTGTAACCAGGTATAGTGAGGTCAGGTTTATCCGCTCGCTTTGACCAATAACGGGCCATAGTCAACGATAGAGTTATCTGATCCACTAGCAGTTCAAGAAAAAGATACACTGATGATGATACATTTGTTGCTACATACTGTTTAGCAGTCTCAGATGAAAGTGACTTGTCTTGTTTCTGTGTATATGTACAACGTTATGCAAGAGTGTCTCTGCTTTTGAATCGGAGCATTGTCATAGTTATGACAATCTGAGGACACAGGCAAGGCACAGGTGATGCTTTTTTTGGTTAGTCCAAAAACAACTAACAGAAAAAAAACAGCTTTTGGCGCGCAAGCCCTTCTTTGTAGAAGACAGAAGCAACAGACTGCAAAGATGCAGACAAGCTGAGAAAACTGTTCTGACTGTAATTAGATATGCATCAGTTGACCTGTCTAAGAGGAGAGGCAGTTGGTACCTCTCTGACACTGTGTGCAGCAGAGAGGAGAGGTGGTGAGAGAGTTATAGCCTAAGGAAAGAAAGACAGATATCATAAATTATTTTCCTCTCTCTTTGCCTTAGGAAATAACCACTTTAACACCTCCCCTCTATCACACCTTGGAGCACTTGCTCTTAATTTGTATGTTTGAAACGTGCTGTGTTTATTTCAGACGTGAAATAATCTGCATGTGAATATTTCAGCAAAATTCTTTGCAGCCTGCAGGCTTGCCTTCTGATGTATCAAATACAGAGTATCAGGGCACGGCCCAGATAAAATAAACCAAAAGGATGTTGTCCGTGTTAACCTGTAATCTTTTTTTTACTCTAACTTCAGTACCTGAGCTCAGCCTCAGAATACAATGCAAATCCCCTGTCCTCACGGTCACTCTAAATGTTGAGTAGCAATTCCATAGTCTTTTAAATTTATTGCATACTTTAGAATTCATGATTGTTCACTGAATGATTGAAGTGAGCGCAAAAACAGAGTGTTTTTAAGATGGGTGCTGCATGTACTAGAAAAGATGCTAATTCCTACCCTGCTTCCCCACTTTGAGATGGGAAATATCTGTGCTGCAATTCAGCATTATTCACTTCTCTCATCTTTTTTTCCCTGCTAACAATGTAAGTAGAAATGCATGTTTTTGCATTATCTGCTATTCAGGTTGTAATCATCTCTTGTGTTAATAGTCACGTTGCAAACTATCCATGGGATTTTGAGTGTTCAGTAAAAGTGGACTGCATAGCTAGTGAGCTTGGCATGGGGCCAGTGAAGTTCATAAGAATGCACCTTAACAAACATGTGTGCAGTTCCCCCGCATCCTTCTCTCTCCTCTGTATTCAGTGTAGTCCAACCAAGCACTTAAGTAGATACTTAACGTTTTAGACAGGGCGAATAGTTCCTTTGAAGTCAATGGGCTGCACATCCTGGTTATAGTTACGCATGTGCTTTATTGGATCATGGCCTAAATAAATAAATAACATTTTTGTTGGACTCATCTGGGCATCCAGTTGTCCTGCATGACAAGCGAGGCATACAGAATCTCTTCTGATGCGCTCTAAGCGCAGGGTGGAGGGAATGATCAGAGCATTTGATCTGTGCATTCTCTCTGCAGCTTGTAAAATTGAATGCAGAATCGCAGAAATTGAAATGAGTTGGACTCATGCACTTAAGGAATAATTGTAGGGGTGGTCTCTGGATTCAGTGGATTTGGAGGGTTTTGCAGCCAGAATAGCTGGAGAAGTACAGCCTCAGTAAGGTTAGTAAGGTTAGCTTCAGTAAGGCTCAGATTCGATGAGGAAGTAGAGGCAAGGGACCACAACTGTATAGAAGAGCAACATTTATCCTGTATGATAGGCCAGCAGTGCATACTTATCTTTTTCCTTCCTTCTTGCGCTGTCTAGTCATCCTAAGCTATCCCTGCTCCTGCCACATAAAGGACACATGTTGCTTAGAAGACTACTGGCCCACCAAGGCCTGATTCTTGTGTTAGGGAAGTGAGATTCCTACTCTTGGCTTTGGAAGTGTGTGTGTGTGTTTCCCTGGGTCCTCTCCAGACTCTGCAGATGGATCAGTGGTAGAAGACGGGGGAGCAACAGCATGTCCAGCGCAAGCAATTGAGCCAGAAAAAGCACAAGCTGAATTTTTACCAGCTGTACCTGCTTTAGGACTAGAAGCAGATTCTTTGGGGTCAACCTCTCAAGAAATTCCTCTGCTTCTAATCTGACCATGTTCATTTGAAACACCAAGGCACGCTTGCTTTTTGGAACTTCACCTCTAATTGATGTTCCCCATATGTTCATTTGTATGCAATAGTAAATGACCTCCTAGGTGGCAGATATCCCTCCTGTAGGATTTTGATAGTATCTACTTAACGGAGTTGCAAGTAAGAAGTACGCTGTGTCTGTGAAACAAGATATACTGCTGCCTAGTTCAGTAAATAAAGGAGACAGTGGGAGAAGTCTGTTTTAGCCATGAGGGTTTGGCTATAGTGCTGTGGTCTCTATAATCATCAGATTTCCCTTGTTCAAATTCTGTTTCTGAACTTGCAGAAATTCAGATCTCTGGCATCTACAGATGATGTCCTTTATATTTTAATGGGCAATTGACCAGAAAAACTTCTGTCTGCAGAATCTGTATCTTAGCACTCTTAGAAGCATGTCTCATTTAAAACACATTCTCTCTGTTGATCTTCTGTTTTTTGCATTCCTCAGGAAATCTTCAGACATTCTGATGTTCTCCCCAGCTCCTGGTCATAGGCATTTGGGGCACTTGGTAGGCTATTAGTGATGCGACAGCAGAGTAAAGAATGGCACAACACTGAAATGAACAGAATTCAAGGCTGTCATTAAGCAACGGCTTGTGTTTTTTTTTTTTTTTTTTTGTCATACTGCCGTACTTATTCCAATTGCAGCCTGTTCACCCCTCTCCACCTTTCTCCAGCCCTCTGCTTTACATGGGCGAATAAACAGTTACATATGCATTTAGGGAGCTGGACACATAGTGCTTCTGAATGTGTATACAGATGTCCCAAGTTTTTGGCTATAGCAGTTTCTCTGCCCTTTAGCTTTATGACCCTGGAGGTCTAAGCTGCTTAAAAAACATCATTTGAAGGATGTTGAGAGGTGGCCATTAAACAGAATGCTTCTCATTTATGTTGTACAGTTCAACTACTGTCCTCCTTTCTTACAGGAAGGACTTGAATTGCAGAATTTAGCTGAGCACAGTTAGGTATTTTTTTCCAGTTTGTGTGAGCCAGATGGAAGAGTGACTTTAGGAGGAGTTCTGAGTTCTTCTTTTCTGGCTCTTTTTATTGAACAAGAAACCAGCTTATTGTCATTTTTCAGAAATATTTTTTAATTCTGCTATTGGAAACACTCTCCATAATAAGACAAGTGATAATGACTGGGAATTTCACAGGTCCCTGAAAGATCAGAGCACACATGTACTGCTTGATTCAGCCAGTAGTTAAAAGTGAAGAGGAAACTTGCTTCACTGCCACAGCCTGTGATTTCAGTACATTATCCAGTACTCAGTGTGATAAGGTCAGATTGGGCCTTGGATTTGTACTGCAGCTCCTGGAACAAGAGTTTTATTCCAACATAGGTCTTTAAAAGATGCTGCTAACACAACTGTAGTCTTTGTGATAAGAATCTCTTCACGTGCCATTAATGTTAAGACATCTTTTTTATTTCCTTGGAGTATCCTTATAGTATCATTTATGTCAACTCTCTTACTTTAAAAACACAAATGTAGTGAAGCTGCAACACTCTCCAGAGAGCCCTGTGACTGAAATCTTTTTAAAGGAGAATAGTTTCAGTACCCTAACAGGGCCATCTTACCTCATTGGCGTGACTCATCCACAGGTGAGATAGAAGATCTCTCTTGATGCCGTTACAGTCTTTGGTTGTTCCCCCTGCCGCACCCCAAGATTTCCAGGAAAGGGGTAGGAGTTTCATTATTAGCTTTTGTGATGGGATGGCTGCTTGCCTTTGGAAAAAAAAGCAGAGACCCACCATACTAATTTCATGATTTCTGGTAAAAGAGCCATCAGTTTGAAATCCACTCTAAGTTGTGAACTGAAAGTCACTGAGTAAAGATTTGAATGTGATTTTGTGTGTGGTTTTTTTTTTTTTTTTTGGCCACAGAATTTTGGGGTAAAACTTTTACAAAAGGTCAGGATGTTTTAAAGCCTAGCATTTTGATACAAGATCTTTGAATAGAAGGGCAACATCTTTTGGATTTGTGTTTACGGCAATTTAAAGGATGGGCTAGGGAGGCTTTACAGTTGCAGGTCCACCTGCAGTGAATTGGACAGCTATGTTCAGTTCTTCTGGCTGTCCTGTTTCAAGTCCTTCCCTGACCAGACAGCATCAGAGTATTCTCTTTACAGACAAAGATTGTTCCACCTCTGTAGGAGAGTGAGAGTTGCACTGGCTTATGTACGAGACCCCCAGTTTTACGGCATGGTGGTAATTTCTCCCGGAAGCTGTCTGAAACTGCCAGACACCTTTCAGTGTAGAACATGGAGTGCAAGGAGCAAAATTTGCTGTGCTTTATTTGCTGAGCTGGCGAGCCCCTGAGGAGAGATGCTTTTCTAGCGATGGCCTTCTGCCATCTACTAATAGTTCAGCTATCTGTTGTCACAAGAAAAGCATCTGTTTGATTTACCAGTTTATATAACATAGTAAGTCCTTAAATAAACCTCTGTCAAGCTGGCTCTGGGGTTTCAGGCAGGCATGCCTGTGCCAGCTCCATCAGGAGACTGTTGTTAGTCGTCTTTGGAACGGCTGGATTGCCAAGGTGTCGAGACGCAGTAAGGTTGCTGTGGAAAGTGAAAGCTAGGGCCAGTGTGTGGTCGCAACTTCTGATTTTATTTTGTTCCTATCTGAATTTTTTTAACACTTTGATAATTGCTATCATAGCTTTTCTGCATTGAAGTATGGTTAGTTTTCAATATCTGCTCAACAAGAGTTGGTAAAAGCTGTCGTTCCTCTCCCTTCCAAGCCCTTGCCGCCTTGACTTGTGGTTTTCAGAAGAGGTTGGTGGTGTGAAGGGATTGGGCTCATCAGCCTGAGAACAGAGCCTTAAACCCCTTTTCCCATAAACCCTGCTTTTGTGTTTTTCTTCAGGAAAAAGATATTTTTAACTCTCCATTCTTTCCCCTGCTAAACTCTTAAACTCAAAATCCCACCTGTGACTTAAACATTTCAAACCGCACACTCCAAATGTACTAATATGATTCACTCACTAGTCTCCCCTCAGGGTGAGGAAAGCCATAATCATAGAGATTATGGTTCCTTGGCTTCCCTTGAGTGGAGGAACTTATGAATTGTTCTAGCACGTGACACTTTACGCCAGCTCTTCTTGAGTGTGGGTGGCACTGCAAAGAAAGTCTGGTAAAGATAGCTGCTGAAAGTTTGGTGATGACTGTCTAAGCACTTCTTGAAATGTACCCAAACCATTATTTTAGGTATAAAATACTTTTCCTCCCATGCTTCTCATCCTCTCATGAGGAAACTTGTTTACAAAATCTTCTCACTTTGGGTGATGTTACTTAGACTGCGAGCTTTAAGGCTGTGGTTTTATTCTGTTTCTGTATAACATACAGCTTCATAGAGCCCTGGCTGAGGTGTAGGTGCCAGTGCTGTATGTAATATCTGTTCCTGCATTAATAGGATCCGGGGAGACTGGATGAAATGTGGAGAGGTAACAGAGTCCCAGTGAAGTCTCTTAAATCTGTCTGTTGCTGGAATCAAATCATAAAATGGTAAATCTGGCTGTGATATGTTTAGCTGAATCCAGTTCACCTAGCTTTTTACCTGTCAAATCCTGACATCTGATTTGTTTTTTTCCTGTCTATGTCTTTCCATATGTTTAGTCCTGCTTCTTTCTTGTCTCTACTTTTCTGAAATTTCAGTGGAACAAGAAAAAAATTAAAGGACTGAGAATTTGTGGGTATGCATGATCTAGCTTATTTCCCAGGACTCAGTTCAGTGTCACCAGGCAGTGTCCCCACATGTCCCCTCCTCACGTTTTTGATGGTGTTATTGCATCACAGGGTGTCTGCTTCATTTTATTACAGTTCTCTTGTGAAAATGAGTGGTTCAGTTTTAATCCGGTTACTGACAAAGTCTGACATTGTAGGAATGGGATAGTCTTTTACATGATGTGGCAGTACTCCTTTGCATGTTAAATCTTAAGTCTATTAAACTGGACAGTAGCATGTGGAGCTGATTGGCATAATTGCTTGTACTCTTGAGTAGCAGTCAATGTTGCTATCTGTGTTGTCATCGTGTAAATTGCACAGCAGTTAAAAACCTTGACACCCATAATATGAGTCATGCATCGCTGCTTTTTCCTAGCCTGAAGTCTGGGGGCACAGGATACACTTCACTTCTGTTCTGTTTTTCTTTCTAGGACAGATTTCTGCGTACACAAAGATGAGCCTTGTGACACTGTGGGTAAGTCAAAAAAGTAAGAGTATTTTGATAGCCAACTCTATGCTGAGAGGAGCTTTCATTCCTTAGTTTGTTCTAATGTTGCTTTTGCTACTCTGAATGCCTCTGTCTTGCACATATAGATTGACTGAGCAGGGTGTGAACTACAAATAAGCCATTAAATATTGACTCCTGAGCACTAGACATCTCTGATTTAAGGACGTAATCTTAAATATTTCTACTTCTTTGGCGCAGATGTCAGATTAGATAATTGGAGATTAAGAAACTGTCTTTTGGATGTCTGTATAATGTTCCTTTCAGTGATCTCTCACCTAAGATAAGAATCTGATAACTAGTGAATGTATTTTCAATTGTAAGAACCTGCATAACACTCCCAGATCAAAAGGGTATTCAGACACCAGAGAAGAGTATCTCATTGTAGGAGAGGCAAGTTAGAGAAATCCTCTTTTCCACCTCCTACTTCCTCACTCCCTTTAATTGTATCCAAGTCCAGGATACATGGTGCTTTTACATCCCAGATAGTAAATATTTTATTTCTTTATTTTACCAAGGTAGCCATAACCTCCACTACATCTGTTCTCCTGGCTTTTCTTTTTTAATCACCACAGTAGCAGCAGTATTTAGAGGCAAAACTCGGCATCCTCTCTGCGATTATTGTATGATTACTTACAGACTTGCCTCAAAGCCAAGCTGCCTCTTTGTCTACATTCTCTGTAAACTGAAAGTGAATCCTGAATTTCAGCTGGTCTGAAACTGCAGTGTTCAGAATGTCGCTCAGAGACTGTGCTGTGCTAACAAACAACAGTGGGTGAGGGAGAGTTTTAGGGAAAGCGATGGCAAACTCTCCAGCACCATCTCTCAGCCTGCCTATAGAAGTTTGATCTCAGAACACAGATTCTTCCTTCTCAGTGGTGTGGAGAGCAATCCATGAGAGATGAATAGAGGAAACACAGAACTGAAAAATATATGCGTTTCTTCTCAAACGTTAACAAGGCCTAGCCTGTGTCCATGATTTCCAGTGGGAATTCCTCACAACGCATCTGTTCTGCGTCCAGTGGAAAACATGCTTCCACTGAGGAAGTGTTTATACTGTGTACCTGTATCCGGAGATGGCTGTGGTAAGGTTACGATAAAGAAAAGAGAAGCTGATGGAAGACAAGTGCTATCACTTAACAAATGCTGACTAAGGTCAAAGGTCTTTCCCTTCTTAAATATGGTATTGTTGAAGATCTCTATTCAGGGAATGATATTACCATAGACAGCATTACTAAGGAAATAATATTATCACTTCTATTCTCATAATACCCAAGTACTTTCCTGTGCTGCGACTTGCTGCACGCTGTGAATCCATTGGAGGAAGTGGAAGATAAGAGCAATAAGAATTAAAAACTCATATGTTACTCTTTCCAGCGTAGTGTTTCCAAGGCATTTAGAAGGTGAACGTTCCTGACTTCTTTTCTCTCTTCAGTCCTGCTTTTCCTTCCTCCTCCTTTTTGCTATGTGGCAACAAAGGTGTAGCATCTTCATTTATACATCTTTTGTGCCCCACGAACTGTTTCTCTGGTCTGAGCCTAGAAACAGTGTCCTTATCTGGCACTTTTCTGACACTTAAGGATGAAGTCCTCCATTGAATGATACCATCTTACTTTTCTTAAATACTGTTGATATAAGTGTTCTGATAGCATCAACTTTCAAGCAGTATTTTCTATACCCTAATTGGTGAGTTACTGCTGTTGTCTCAGATCATCTACAAATTTAGATCCTTGTCACTGTGTTACTTATACTGACAGCATATTTTGGTAGTTGTCTTCAAAGTCATAAAACTGTTACAGGGCCTGCAATTTGAATGGAGCACCCAGAGTACACCACACTCAGATATCTCATCTGTTGCTATCTTGAGACAGTGTTCCTGCTTAGTGGCTGAAGAAGATAACCAGTTCCTCTAGCCATCAGCTTGCTAAGGAGTAATGCAATGGTGCGGTAGGAAATAGGAGAATGCTGGAATTTAAGGGATTGTCACCATATTTCACGTTTGAGTCCTTACGTGTGTCCGAAACGCATAAGATAAGATACTGAAGGACAATGTTTTCATTGCCCCGAATCTGCCAAATATTTATGATTTATATGAAGATTGTAGTCTCTACTTTCTGGGTATAGATATAGCACAAAGATGGACTTTTTTCCTCTCTCTCTGTATTAGCTTTGTTCCCCTTCTCTGCCAAAGGTATCCCTGATACAACTATATGATTTTTTTCTTTATTAGTGAAAGTCACTGCTTAGGTAATCCATTCACCTCAGGGATGTTAGACCAGAAGTGAATTTGGCCTTGTTGTATCATTTCTGTATGTGTCACACCAGAGGAATAATAAATTAAGGAGTATGTTCTGTGACATGCCACCCTTTTGAGAAGATGGTTAGCATTGGTAATATTAAATTGAAATTGTGCTAAAGATTCTCTGATTTTTCTCCTTAGTCAGAACAAGGAAAAGGAGGTATCAGCCACACAGAAATAGTCAGTTTTTAATGGCTGCTACTCTGTGCCTTGTGTGTGTGTGTGTATATACATACATATATATATATATATGTGTGTGTGTGTGTGTGTATGAATTGCAGAAGTAGAAATGTAGCTATATTTTACCTGGGCTTAATATGAATGCAGTGGTCAAAATAGGCTGATGTCTACTCGCTTTTGAAGAACTATATTGACACTTCAGCTGTTTCTGTTGTTTCCAGGTTCCCATTCCTCACTCTGGCTCCCGCAGATAGTTCCCTGCAACTCAGGAGGGCTACCTGTGAAAGCAAGAAGCTAGTCCAAAGAATGACATTGCATTTGATATTGAGGTTGCAGTACTTTTCAGAGTTCTATCTAGAACAGCACCTTACTTCCATTTCCTGCCTTACAGTTCCCTTTTAAATAGGAAAAGCATGATCTCACCAGATGCATGTGTATTTTTGAACCCTCTTATGAATGATGTTGGCCATTGCTGCGTGGTACACTGTCATCCTGTAAAGGAAGAAGCATCTTCCTGGTGAGCAGGGACTGTACTAAACTAGGAGGCTGAGGCTGCTGCTTTGTATAAGCTGGAGAATCTGGACTCTAGACTCCTGATTTCTATTCCCAGCCCTGGCATTGACTCATTGTGTGACATTTGGCAAGTCACTTAAATTCTGAATGCTTCTGTCTACCTCTATGAAATGGGGATTTTGAGTGCAAAGCTACAGGAGATTGTATGGCTTAAGTAGTCCTCCTATAAAGGAGTGTGATGTCCTTAAGTGTTGCAATATAAGTCTAGAATCTAATGTTGCTTAGTCACGTTTAAGAGAATAGAAATAATGCATTAGACTATACTTACTAAAATAAATGTACTCAGAGCACTGTAAGTAGTTTTTTTTCAGTGACAGTACCTTGATTTTTTTTTTCTTGTGAGAAATAGGCAAGCAAAATTTTCCCCAGTGGAATACTGAGCCCCAGCTGTTGCTTGGAAGTGGGATTATGAAGTTTAAATGGCTTATAAGAGGTGTTCATTTGTGCTCAAAAAAGATCTGTGTTGAAAAACCTGTCTGGAATCTTTGCCTGCCATGCAGACACAGAGAGAAAACAGCAGCAGGAGGTTTGTATTTGTATTCTGGCAGGGGCCCCTCACTGAAACCAGTTGCTTTGGGGACTTCATTCAAATTTTCTTGGCCTAGCTGCCAAGGTAGCGTGGAAGGTTACATAATGGCTGAAACAAGCTCAAAAATGGTGAAAATATATAGGTATGTCTTTTTGGGGTGATACCCTACTGGCTGTATTGAGGAGCAGAACAGCGTTTGTTTAAGAAATAGTTTGTTGATGCTTGTTGTCCCACTTGGTTGTGCAAGTTACCCCTAGGAACAATTGACTTCAAAAAGGAGGGGTGGAAAAAGAAAGCAATATGCCTGCATGCAACACGTTTGCAACAATCGTGTTTCAACAGCCTTAGTTTCTAGGACCTCCAATACCGTCTGCAATTTGAGCACAGGTTTGCTTTATGCAACACAGACTTGATGCACACACCAGTCAAAGTTTGCAGTCTGCTGCCGCTCTCGGACTCATCTCTCGTGATGTGACTTTAACCAGGTCTACCGTTTCCTGCAAAGAAATCTTTGTTCCAATTGAGCTGCCTCTAAGCCAGCCAAATTGAGAGCCAAATTTAATGTCTAGCTATTAATATCAGGCTGCAGCTTGGAGCCTTGCTCGTTGTCAGAATCCAACCTTCCTGTGACATAAGCAGATTGAGAATGCCCCTTTCGTTCAATATTTCCACTGCTAGTGCCAAATAAGCAGCTTTACGGTTAGTTAGGAATGATCCTGCATATTTCAAGGCGAAGCTTGGCCTTGATTCCTCAGTGTACATGTTACCCCAGATCCAAGCTGAAGCTTCCCTGTATTCCGCTAATAATAAAAGTGGGGGCAGTGTGGAATTGGGAAATGGAAAATGAGAATGTGTCTTATATCCTTAAATTGCCCTGGTTAAAAATGTCTTTACCTCTGCTGTAGTCACATGTGCTTTTTTGTGGCTTGATGTCGGGGAAAAGAAAGCAGGATGTAGTGTATATACTGCAGATGGGCAGGTTTAGTTGAAGGAATAGCTCCTTGGAGAAAACTGAGTATAGGAAGCAGAAGTGATCGAGAAACACTATTTTCCAGACTTTTCCCACAGGTGAATCGACATTTTGTAAAAACATTCCCACCTCCTGGCTGACTTTAATTGACAGACTCAAAGATTTATCTCCTTGAGAGGGTCCTGAAGGTCACAAATCCTTCTAGAATTTGTGTCCTTTTTCTTGCGTCTTTGAAACGCTGATATGTTACTGGGAAAATCAGTGCTCTGATTTTGCTTTTACTACTGCACTGCTGGGCAGCTGTGCAGATGACGTCCTTCTGCTGTGCCACGGTGTTCTTATCGCAGCCATTTCCTCCTATCAGAAGTGCGTAGAGAGCTGTGGGTGAAAAGCATTGTCAAAAGAGATGCAGATTACAG